GTGGGATGGGGGTGGGGTGTGTATTAGATACCCCAGCCTGCCATGCTGGCCCCGCCCCCAGGGTGTGCACCTGTAATTCCAGCACTTGGGAGGCTATAAACTGGCAAATCACTATGACTCGGATCTAGTAGTGAGACCCTGAACACCCTGTAGACCCTTCCCTAAAATAGAAAGAAAAAAAAAAAAGGAAAAGAAAAGAGAATCTGATTTTGAAGGCTACATCTGAAGTTTACAAATCTGTAACAGAAAAAGCCAAGCGTTCTGCAGTCCCTCAGAACATGCAGTTCCGTTTGCTCTCAGAGCTTGAATGTTTCCAGAGGAATTGCTAGCAGAAGTGGGGCAGGGGCAAAGGAGGACCCAAGAGTTAGTGCCCCGATTAAAGAAGAAGAAACAAGGAGCTAATCTAGAGAAAAATCAAGGACAGCAACAGAGGCTGTTGTCATCCCAATGGCAGACTGAGCAAGAAATGGCAGGAGCGCCACTGGTCGTTCAGGTGCAGAGTTGAGAACGACTGTGGCACAGGACCCTGGCAGAGCTCCTGGAGCACACCGTGCTGATCTGCTTGTGAAAATGAAGACGAGGGCTTGTACCACCATCTTCTTTCATGTGCAAAGCCTTCCCCAACTGTAAGTTTCCTGGAAAATGTCTGATTGTTCATCCAAATTGTAAATAGGATGCCAAGTGGACCAAACCAGATTGGTTCTTCACTTGTATCAATAGCAGAATTCCAGTACTGCCTCCAAAACCAGGCACAACACTGTCCCTTCTCCCAGTTGGTGCTGCAGTTACTTTCCAGCTTGTAAGAAAATGGAAGATCCCTTCTGTCACCCAAGCACAGTAGAGTTAGCACTCAGTGAGCAGGCCAGACTGTGCATTCTGTCACCGCACCATACTGTGCCGCCAAGATGTGCCCTGCCATGGACTCGACCTCAGGCAGTGAATGATAGATACCCACTCCTGCCTGGAAGATCATGCAGTTTGAAAGGCTCTACCTACTGCTGAAAGGCAATCTATATGACCTGTCAGATTGTTGAGACTTGGAATAAGTAAAAGAAAAAAAAAAGGAGGGGGAGAAGGAGAAGGGGAAGAGGAAAAGGAAGAGAAGGAAGAAGAGGAAGAGGAGGAGGAAGAAGAGGAAGAAGAAAAGGAAGAAGAGGAGGAGGAAAAAGAAGAAGAGGAGGAGGAAAAGGAAAAAGAGGAGGAGAAGGGAGAAGAGGGGGAGGGAGGAGGAGGAGGA